ATACATTACTTTTTCTTATAACCATTCAATCTTTTTGTATAAACCTTCATTGATCTGCCTTCTAGGTGTCGTATTTGTTCAGAATTACACACTGAGACCCATATAAGACTGGTGATATCATTTTAATTGTTCCTGCTTTCCTGACTTGAAAAATTATTAACTTAATTAACAGTCTTACTAAAAATTAATATGTCTAGACAATAATTACATTGGTTTCCATGGTGCACAGTATTGAAGCTGCTACATTGTCAGTTTTTCTCCAGCAGGAAAAGTAGCAACTTCTTCAAACTCACAAAAATAATCGATGCATTTGTACATTCGTGCCTACATTGTATTTCTCACCACCATCAGCAGAAAACTCAACATAACAACCATTTATAGGAGGAATGTGTGAAATAATGTGATCAGTGACAAGGCACAGACAATTTCTGTCATTATTTGTTGGTTATTCAACAGTTTCATTAGAGGAAACCCCTTTAATTGATGGCATGATTTTCCTTGCTTCATGTTAGCAGTGATAATGACAGTTTGTTCAGGGTTTAGCCTGTAGACACAAACATGCATAGGAGTTTGTTTTGGGAAAACTGCTGCAGACATTTTAAGGAGAAACCAGTTCCACAGCATGGCTTTGGTCATTGAAAGGTCTTCACATTGTATTCATATCCAGTCTGCATGTCTCCATCATGGACGTCACGGGGCTGCTTGGTTTTATTCAGACTCAAAGTGTGGTTTGCAAAACTATTCCTAGAGCCACAGCGGTGCTAACTAAGAAGCATCCTGAAACATGACAGTGTCCTGAAACACCTTAAATTATTAATGGAGAAGAAGCCATTAAAATGTCCTAATTATTTGATTCAATCAAGGTATCTTTTCATAAAGAGTAAGTGGCCTTTGCTGCAGCATATTACTGACAAACGTACAAATCAAACAACACAAGGGGAAGAAACATGAATACATTGAACTTTACTTCCTAAAGTAAATTACATATTGATTCCAAGAAGAAACTGACAACTTCACTAACTATTTTCTTTTTTGTATTTCTCTACCTAAGTCTATAAGGAAACATGTTGTTGTCCAAACAAATAATTCAATCCAAACATTACAGCAAAGAAAAAAAAAAACATTCAGATAAACCAGTAAATTAGGCATTTCCTCTTGTATCTCATCCACATGCCTTTGTTGTACTCACTGTTACGTTTCAATCACCGCCTCACTCTAAGAACATTACTGGTTTGCAATTTTTATGAAAGCTTCTGCTGCTAGTGTCACAGGGTGCAGCGCCCCCTGGTGCTCAGGGAAGTCCTCACAGCTTTGCTTCAAGACCTTGCTGCACTCCTCCAAGTGCTCCCTTTGACTCTGCAGGGTGGCTCCGATTGTTTCACTGCTGGATGACGGTTTGTAGATCCCCTTGCAAACGGCCTGCAGCTTCTTGTTTCGATCCTGCATAGTAATTAGGAAAGTCTGGTTCTGGAAAGAGGTGAAGAAAGACAAGGTGAAGTTGTTTGGTGCTTGTACATTTTTGAGCATTTCCAACAGACATCACACAGGCAGATGGAACAATAAGACATTATCTCGATTGCTCATTGTTAATGTGTGTGGGAGGTTGTTAAAAATAGAAGCTGTGATACTCATGCCAGGAATTCAACTTGTGTTGACTTGACGTAGGAAGAAACAGCCTTAAAATATACTTTATCACCACGCCTTTGTTGGGCTGTTGTGTAACACAATGTGATTCACTTGTTTGACTGATGAATGCCAGTTGTTATTTTTTACATGAAGAATGAAGATATAGTGCACTGCACTTGGTTCATCTTCATGACAGTGATGAGTACTGCTTAAAATACTTAGCACCAACTATTTTAATCATACAAAGAATTTGGGGGGGGGGAAAAATTGCTCACAGATTTACCATGTCTTTGTTATCCTGGAGGTTTTCCAAGTTACGGCCTATCTTTGTGCTGGTGCTTGACAGTTCAGTTACTTGTTGCGTTTGCAGCTGAATATTCTCACTCAGGAGAGTTTTCTTGTTCTCAAGCTCCTTCGCCTCCTCTTCATAAACTTCAAAAGCCTGAAGAGACATATGTAGGATAATTATATAGCTTGTTCTTTTTATTTTCTGGATGTTGATAAATCTACCTCTCTTACTTACATATAATGTTTTTTGGATTTTTCTCTGCAGGCCAGCGCAGGAGCGTTTCAGCTCCCACTTTGCAAGGTGTTGGCGGCGGTCTCGGATCATGGCATCCTTGCGTATGTCGAGGTTTTCTCTTCTCTCCACAACTTTCTGGCTTTCCCTCATCAAATACTCTTGTCGTTTTGTCAGCTTGTCGATATATATCTGCACAAATATTGCGGAAGGTCCGAAATAGGAATAAAAAAAATGCAGACATATTTTTGAAAAATCATAAAGCGTCACTGAATTTATAAAGCAGGATGTATTCTACTTTTTGCCGCCACCAACCACCACTAGCACTGCCCTCCTCACCCTGAAAAGTATCACACCTTTACAGAAAGCCAATAATTTGACAGTCACCAGGCAGGAAACAGGTGGCGACAGAAAAGGGAAAGACACACAACAAAAGGCTCAGGATTCGAAATCAAACCCAGGACGCCAGCGGTAACTGTACGGGGTGCTCACTCTGCCTTTACATCGTGCGGTGCACCAATTCAATCAATGTTATGAAACTGAAGACGAGTGATAGCTTAAATTATTTCAGTATTTGAGCAGACTGTGCTGCAACACAATCTGCTGCCTGTGTAAGTCGGTGACTGTGCATTCGGTGAATAAATGTCTGGAATGCTTGAAATGTTTTTGATAGGATTAATTTTGCTTCCTAAAAAAGGTAAATTGACCGAAGTCGGCTGAAAGGTGCATGCTTTACATCACACAAGAAGACTGTTCATGCTGCAACTGTTTTAAAATGCTAACAGCTAATTTAGATGGAAACATTTTTTTTTTATGATTTGCATTTTTGCTCATGTATATTTACACTTTACTCTTATAAGAACTTCATTGTGCCTCAAAACATGTCTAACATAACATACAGTACAAAATAGCTATATCGGACAATATGGCTGAAAAACGTATCACAATATAACTATAACACAATATATCAGTCAATGATTATTGATTAGTTTTGTTATTTTGAAACACTGCCACAATGGTGGTGTGACCTTTCCTGCTTCATGTGCATTTTCCATTCAAGCTGTGGTACTCATTTTTTCCCCTTCCCTCCTCGTTGTTTTATATTTTTAAGCAGCTGTAAGGCACGGTGGAGAAACCTGAAACTGCTGCTGCGAAACATAGTCAACAGGTTGTTGCTAGGTAACCAAAAAAATCCAATCCCTCAGAATGCTGCGCGATTATGGAGTTTAGTAAAATTATTGGACATATTTTCTATTGATATTGATGCCGTGTCCATCGCGATAGAGATTGTAATCAATTTATCACCCAGCCCTACTACATTGTGGAAGTTAATACAAAAAATACCATCATAAAGAAACTAGAAATGCAACACTTTGTTTTGCAAACGTTTACCTCGACAAACAGTAAAATGATCAAGCTGAATCTGGTTTTATTATCTCTCCTCATCATCACATGAAGCTAAATATGCTTACCTCCATTCGATGCATTTCAGCATTCATCTTCTGGATGTCTCCCTGGCTAATGTCGAACTCCACTACTGACCGAGTCTCCTTTAGAATAATGGTCTTCCTCTCCCACAGCATGATCTGCTGCCTGCAGATTTACAAGAGCCTGAGGTCAGACTGAGATGCTGTTCTTTTAAATATATCTAAAATATGACCTCAGCAACACATCAGCTTAAATCTCTTGTGTATTTAAAAAATTATGTTAAGGTATGTAATTAAGATGGTGACCAGTTTGTGATTAAATGTGACTGACTTAGCCTTCGCCAGACACTTGAGGAGGTTCTCTTTTTCCTCCTGAATGTTCTCGAGTTTCATGTGAAGGCTGGCAGATTGCTCTTCAGCATCCTGACAAAAACACATTCAAGTTAGTTCTAGTTCGATTGCAAAGTTAAAAAGGGAAGGAACAACTATCAAACAGCCATGCCATGCCTTGAGTTTGTTTCTAAAGTCTGTCTCCATCTGTATGTTTTCCATCTCCAGAGTCTCATTTCGCTCTTTGTTCTTTGTCTTCAGCTTGCAGAGCTTCTCGAGGTCTTTCCTCAGCACCATCGAGCCCCTCTCCAGCTCCGCCAGCTCTCGTTCCTCTTGTTTAGTCTGACCTGGGGGTGGCGAAGTTACAGTCAACATTGTTAAGGGATGCTAATGGTTAATAGTGAATAGCTTTACAATTAAATGTGGTATTATCAGACTGGCAACTCATACACAACAGAATTACTGTACTACATCTGATTTGAAAGTGTCTTATAAAACCTGTTAACCCAAGAAGTGATTTTCTGCACATGGGATGCGTACCATCTAGTCGGATGTCCTTCATCTGCAGTCCAGTGTAGTCTTTCTGCAGTTTGCGCATCTTCTTCTTGTTGACATCCAACTCTCTGGTCAGGCCCACCAGGGTTCCCTGGTGCAGCAACCAGAGGCGCTGCTCACTCTTGATGTGAGCAGCAAGCTCATCAATCTCAACTAGTATATTATCGATCTTGATTTGCAGAGGATGCACGTCTTCTTGCTGGGAATAGGAAGAAGCAAATCAAAAATGTGTCTCGGTATTTTTAGGTCTAAATTATAAAAAGCATTTCTAAGTCCACTTTATTACACTTATGCATCAAAATCCTATGAGGCATAAAGTTCATCAGCCTCATGTCTACACATAATCAATCCATCAGGAGCCATCTCACTGGAGAATTTATAGAAAATAATTAAATTTGTATATTATGAAAACATTATTATTATTATTACAATACTTTGCATATATTTTAAGTGTTTTTTAAATTATTTAAGTAAGTACTTTAATTTATGTGCATAATTATTTTTTAATAGTAATCAAAAGTTTTCTGTAAATTAAGAAAAAATAAATAAATACAAAAGATGTGAAAACTTTAACATGAATCCACTAAAGAAGCATCATCTCCCACAGAAAATTTTGGAAAAATCCAGCCTTTAATTTGAGTTAATTGTCTTTAAAGAAATCATCAATGGCACAACTGCAGATATCCCCTAATCACTTTTTGAAAAATAAATAAATAAATAAATAAATAAAGCATTTTCTATGAGCTTCTAATTAACAACCCATGTTATTCTCTTTTCCTGAGGCATAGAGGCCCATTTCTCTTGTTCACTGTCCATTATCCTAAATGAGGATCATGTTTTTCCTGCACCTGACACAATAAAAAGGATCATGAAACAAAAGGTAAAACAAACCTCTAAAGTTCATTGCTAGAAAACTGCACCAAAAAGTGGCATTTTTACAATAAACACCAGTTATCTACACAACAACCAGCTATGTAGATAACTGATGTAGCCACTGCAAAAGTAGAAATAGAGTTTGCTAATGCTACATAGCCTTTAGTTGGGACACTGTGCTTTGGTCAGATTAACTTTTTGGAAACAAATTCTCAGTTGGGTTTGGTGTGAAACAAGGAATAAAGTTTATATGTCTATGAAAGGTACTATATAAGTATTTTACTTACTTACTTATATGGAGATACGCCTCATATCAAAACACATCAGAAAGATTTAAATAATTGGAAAAAAAAATCAAGTGGGCTCTCCTAGAAAATTGGAAATGATTAATCACTGTGTCTTTAAATTGAATAATGGTGTAAAACAGAGCATCAGAAGAAAGGAGAGCATAAGTGGGGACCCAGGACAATCATCAGAGATCAGAGTTCGTTCTCCCAGAAAGATGGTAAAACTAAAGTAAAAGCTAAAGTTTACTGTCTCCATTTAGTCTCTTACCCCGGTGATCTCCACAATTTTAGCAATCCTGATTTTTAGGGTGTTCACTGTTGTTTCTTTCTGCCTGATTTGTCGAACAAGCGAAGCAAATGTATTCTCATGCGAATTCAGCAACTTGTTGTACTTATTAATCTCCTCATCAAGGCTCTCCAAGGAAATGGTCAGGCTGTTGACATGCTGCTCAACCTTCTGGCACTCCAGCTTCACTGACAAGGTGTCTCTTTCCTGCAGCTGCAGCTGATGCATCTGTAATTAATGTAGTAAGAAAGACAAAAGACATACTTTTTGATAAAGAGAAAAAAATAAACACAACGAAGAAAATGCAAACAAAAAAAATAGCTTAAATTGTGGATTCTGGTTTGTTACTGTCAAACATTTGAAGCCACTTTTTTTTTTTTACCTTCTCCTTCTTTCGAGTGACCAACTTGTTTGTGAGATTTTGTGAATGTGAAGCCGCCTTGCTGTGTGTGAGCTGCTGCTGAAAGTAGGCCATAATTTTCTCTTGCAGCTCCAGACGTGCAGCACTCAGTTTCTCCAGCCTGTTCTTCTGACTTTTTAGTTCAGTTTGATGTGCCGTCATTTCCTTGAAAAGAGAAAAAAGTAGAAGTCAGGTTAGGAAATTGAAAGCAAGCATCAGAGCAGGGAGAGGTTTCAGAAGGTTCTTGTTGTACTTTTGTGAGTGCGGCAAAGATCTGCTTTGTCTCAGACAGGGAATTTAGACAGGCGGTGAACTGAGCCTGCAGCGCCTCTCGTTCCAACTTTTTCTTATTGATCAGTTTTTCCACAGACACACAGTCCATTGAACTCCGGTTCAGCTGAACGGTCAGTGTCTCATTATTCTCCAGCTCTACGTAGATGGATTTCTTATAACCTTCAATCTCTCTGTCCAGCAAGATCACCTCATCCTCAACCGCACTAAAGTAAAAAAAAAAATACAAAAAAACATGCAATCAAGCAAGGATAACATTATTAGCATTTCAGTTTAATAATAAAAAAAATCAGAGTATATCTTAAATATATAGAACTTTGGACAGATTTAGCAGAAACAACATATTTTTCACATCTGCTTGAGAAACCTCAAACAGCCAAGCAAATATTTCTTTTTCATTTAAAATTCTTCCTTGTCAAGTTGTTAAAACCAACTTGTACAGAAATTGACATCTTCAGCCTTCCCCCTTACTCTCCATCTTACCGTACAGCTTCCTGCATCGCATTAACAGTCTCATCGTGTCTCTTTATGTCTGTTATGTTGCTGTTCCACTGGTGCAGCAGCTTTTTGTGCATCATTAGCAGCGATTCGTATTCCATCTCAGCCTAGACAAAGACAGTCATGAATGCACAGCTTTCAAGTCTGACCTCAGGTTCTGAATATATTAAAATACTGTTAGAGTTAAACTAGCTGGTGAAAAGCCACACTTGCACACCTTCTTAATGTTTATGTTTCTTCTTAATATTATGTTTTTCATTTAGCTTATCTTATTATTGTCTGAATTATCATACTTCACCATTGTAAAAAAAAAAAAGAAAAATGAAAATTTTTTATTGTTATGCTGATGATTCTCAGCAATATTTATCTATGTAAATACTTTCAAAAGTAATGTGAAAAGTCAGTGTTATAGGACCTGACATGCTGACATTCGCTCTAAATGAAAACACACAGAAGGGAGCTCTGAATTAAAATAAAATATAAATGAATCAAAATGATCAGAAAAGCACTTGTGTAAATAAAAGGGATCACCTGATATATTTTTTTCACAATCACTGAGGCAGTTGCAAAACCGGTTAATAAAAATATGCGATGCCTGATTACATAGTCTTCTTCTAAAGCTGACATTTGAACCGATATGCTAGAAATTCTTAATTTTTCTTAACGTAACAGTTACCTCAGAGAGTGCTTTGGTGACTTCCGCTGTCTCCTGGGCTTGAGCGCTTCCCTGGATCTCGTACTCCGCCACCTGCTGTGCCTTGCTGTCCAAGTCCTTTGTCAGATGATCTACATACAAGTCCTGATGACAAAGAGACATTTTCAAAAAAATTACCACTCAGTTCAGGATTTTTCCTACCACCTAGAAAATTAGTTAAGACGTGTCAATGCAAAACAGCATAGGCACCTGCTTTATTTTGTCTTCTTCTGCCTTTGTCTTCTGTGCGTTCACTTTGTATCTGGTGTAATCCATGACTTTGACTTGGGACTGCAGTTCCTCCCTGGCTGCTTGGGCGAAAATGACCCGCTGTTGCTTTTTGTCTAGGTCCGCCTGCCTTGCAGACACTGGTGTAAAACAGAGAAGTGAAAGATGTGATGTTTAAAATTTGAGGTTAGATATTTGATCTGAAAAATCACATTCTACTGTTATGGTAATACTGTGTATATCCACTGTATGACATGATGGGCTGCATTCCATATATACCGTTTCAACATCCTGTGAATTTACAATTCTGTCCAGTTAAAATAATCGTTTTGCACCGTGATCATCATTTATTTATTTACTCTGTTTTTCCTTGACTGGTTCTTTGTGAGTGCGTAGATTAGCTGTAGAATATTCCTGTTAGCTGGGCACTCATGGGAATGCTCACAGCTGTTCAGTGTTTTCTCCACTGGTGAATAAATAACTCTTCTAGTTCATCAAAGTCCCAAAGCCTTATTTTTTAGATTAGATTAAGGCGTCATGAATTGCTTTTAAACTTCTTCTAACCTACTTCATGTTGTCCTTTAAGGGATTTCTTGATCCTATGTGTCACAATTAATTCCATTAATAACTGATTAAGTAATAATTAAACAAAGGGGGCAACTGCTATTTTTTAAACACAAGACAAGTTTGGTTTGGAAATCTTGTTTTCCCTGAATAAATTAAATCATCTGGTATTTTTGATTTATCTATGTCTGATATTAAAAACTGTTTGAAAATCAGAAACATTTAAGAGGGATACCAAGCAAAAAATATATAAGATATCTGTTATGGGCACTGTATTTAAAAACAAACCAATAAGATAAGTTTAAGTAAAGACAAGAACAACAAAACATTTTAATTCACAAAGCTTCTGTGAAAGCAATATATAACTTCAGCTTTGAGTCTTTTGGAAGAGCTTAGTTACCATAACAAGCACACACCGGATCGTCCATCTGACTTAACCTAAACTGAAGAGTGAAGCTCTTCTGACAAGTTCGTATTTTGACGGCTGTGTTGTTTACCTCTGTGTTTGATTGCGGATGCACAAACTGAGAGATTATTGGATATGGGCTTAATTACATTTACTTCAAAATCGAAGTAATGAGTTTAAACATTAAAACATGTAACAGTTTAATGATCAGATATTTGCTCATTTGAGCAAAAAGAAAAGAGGGAAGAACATCAGTGATGCATGAGCAGCATCAACTGAAAAGCAAATCCTACCCACAGCTTTGGCTTGGCGGCTCAGATTTTTTATGTTGTAATAATGGCTCTGTGCCTCTTTCAGACGATCTTGTTCACGCTTCAGTTCAGCTTCGGTCTCTGTCTTGGATTCTTGAATGTCGTGCAGCTTGCTTTCAGCTGCTTTCTGTTTTTTTTCGGTTTTTTCCAATTCCATAACTAGCTCAGCTACCTTTTTACTCCCCACCCTTTTAACTGGCACCTGGACTCAGAAGAAAGAGAGCATAATGAGAGAATCAGACATAAAACTTTCAAAGCTGTCACTACGCTGGGGCCACAATGGTGTAATACATGTGCTGTTTGTACAACAGGCCAAACAAGAACTGTTCACATTTCATTTAAATCCTAATTTTGTTGATGTTGATTGAAAAGTAGCCAACCATTCCCTTCAGTTCTAGCCGGAGTCCTTCTAGACGTTTTTCAAAGTAAACGTTGAAAGCATTTTGAAATCCTTGGATCAGCGGCTGTAAAGCAGAGGACACAAACAATTATCAGGAGGCAAGATCACCAGAATATCTTGAAACGGCTCATAAATTCATCAAATGTTTGTGAAACTTAAATATTAACATACAAGCACATTTTAAGCTTGTATGTTTAAGCTTAAATATATACAGTAAAACACTGTATATATAAACACAAACAGACATGTTCAGGGTTTATAGTGAAGATGTCTTCATTTTCTTCCTCTTCTTGTGGGGAGTCCTCGTCATGTTCTGGTCCCCTGTCGTCTTCTGATGTGCCAATGCTCAACTGATCAGCTGCAGGAGTTACACAGAGTGCCAAAAAAAACATGAAGTACAATGTGAAGGAAACTTACAAAAAAAGAGAAAGTATTTTTTTAAAGTCTGACATAGAGTTTGGAAAAGTTTCATTGTCTTGGTCCTTAAAACCAGCTTGAAAACTTCCCCTTTTTTTGTTATGTTTCCTTTATAGTTGATAGCATATTGCTAACTTCATGTGTGACATTTTCTACTTCACATATTCTCTGCGGGTCATTCCTTTTTAAAGACAGGCACCCAGCAGACTGCCTTAAGAACCTTTCAGAATGAGCTCTTTAAGAGCCTCTTGACACTTTGAATCCAAATAACCTGCTGCCGGCCGAGGCCCCCCAACTCCATGTTTACATTCACACTTTGTAGAAAGGGAAAATGAATGCAAACAGATGTGAAATTATATAGTATGTATGGTACATCTTTGACCCGGAGTCAGACTCAGAAGCAGACGAAGTGAAGCCTTCCGCACAACCATCAAGGATGCAACAGTGGTTTCTGAGTGGTGAGTCAACAACAAGACACTTGTCTTTCCTAGCAGTCACTGTACATGTTAAATCTAAATAATTGATTTATCAATCTTTGTCACTAATAAATAATAAATAATTATTAACAATAGGCATCCTATTTAGGGATCATAATCTCAAACTACATCCATTTATACTTTTAGAAAAAAAAATTGTGCAAACAAAAAGATTAACATAATACAAATTAAGATTTTTGTAAAAAAAAAAAAAAACAAAAAAAAACTCTCGATATATTATATATATATATATATATATATATATATATATATATATATATATATATATATATATATATATAGCTTCTTAGTTAAATGAAAAATAATTTTACTTTTAAATCTGTACAAGGTATGAATTATTTTTGGGTTAACTGTTAATGCAGTAAAAGCAAATGGAAAAAGCAGCAGGTCAGGGTGCACAAGCCAGGTTGGGTCAAACTATTGGATAATATTCTTATACAACTTTAAACAGAATTCTAGAACCCCCAGAGGTACTTGTACTCCCATTTGACAACAAGTGCTCTAAACAGAGTATACTGTGCAGCTGTGTAATGGCAGGTTTAACAGGATACTAAAGACTATTCAAGTATTCACCTGCCACATTTGGATCAAGAACAGAATCATGAGTGACATCATCTGACTGCTGTGCTGATGGACTCTGTATGAGAGAAAAAATAAATCTGTTATGAGCTTCACATTGAGTATTGGTATAACTTTAAGCTTCAACTTGAAAGTGTTGCAAACATAATACCCTGCTGATATTCTATAGGACATTAAAATAGAAAGAAAACCAAGTATCTGCTATCTTAAGCTAAATGGATAATAAACTAACACAGCGCAGGAATTAAAACAGAAAACAAATCTGCTTTATGGAAATTAAACCTCAAAAGAAAGAGGGATAGTCACCGCACTAGCGCCATCTTGTGCATTCAGGTGGTCTTCGTCAAGTTGGTCTTCGTCACTTACGTTCTGCATTTTACCTGTAGTCTTAACAACAAAATGTTAGCATGTCACGCCAAGCTGTCTTGACGGTTTTTGCGTAACAAATTATCACCATTATAATTATTATCCGTTTATTGTTGTGAGGTACTCAACATCTGTCAAGTAAAATTAAGTATCGTAATTCATTCCGTTCGATAAAAGTTGACTGTTTACAACTAAAAAAGTACACTTTCAGGAGGTATTAGCCTACTCATATTTTCGTTTCATTTGTTAAATAAAGAACAATGAAAACAAACACCTACCACCGCTTTCCTGCAGCTAACAAAACCGCAGAGTAGGCTATTGTGACCAAACAAGCGTAACCAGGCAACAGTAACTTCCGGCACATGAACTTTCAATGGCAGTTACAACATTTAAAGAGTTACCCAGTAAAAACACACAAAAAAAGCGTGTGTAAAAGCGCTTTAGCTTACCGTCAAATAGACAAAATCACTTAATTTAGTTTTAGTGATATTTATAACTGCTTGTTTATTTCGCAAAAGATGAATTGCCTTATTAAACACTAAAGCCATACTTGAAGTACATGCTTGAAGAGGTTACATTTATTTATTTTTATTATTTCGAACATTAAGTACAAAATTACACACATGAACAAGGAATGCAAAAAACATATTTTTGTACCACAATAATATTAACATGCTCGAAAAGGAGTAGGAAGAAGTGAGAAACTTATGAACTCCTACCCCATAAACTCATACACTATTTTCAGATGGACCCTTTATTAAATAATAGTAAAAAGACAGGTTAATTAATTTTCCATTTTATCTGGGTTTACATCTAAATATATGCATTCATACCCACTCACACTCATATGCTTAAGCCTCAATTGGCATACAGAGTTGTGCTAACTCTCTCCCACATTTCTATATCTTGTGAAAATTACCCATTTCCTTTTAAATTGTATTAAATTTTAACTGTTTTAACTCCTGATTTAACTTGTTCCATAATTTTACACCATGAATTGAAATACAAAAGTATACAAAAGTATTTTAATGACTAATGGTCTCATTCAAGTAATTCGTAGTATGAATAGTTTTCCAAGTAATGTACTAGGAACTGATGACGGCTTTAAGGTCTTAATGTGAAAATTCATCCATCAATAAAGAAGATACAATGAGATTGGTGAAGTTTTGCAATGTCCCTATTGGTTTGGTTTATATTCAAGTAAACTCTTTGCCAACAAATTGGTTCAGGATTTAATTAAACTGTATTATAATTTTCAGACAGAATACATTAATAAAAACAGCTACACTAATGCTAAAAATCTGTTCTTTAATTCAATTTAAAAATACTTCATCACTTTATTATGGGAATTTAAATGTTGCAACTTAAATCATACAATTTTCTTCATAGTTGTAGTTGCTCGTCTGTGTCTCCTGTAGGATTCCATATTACAGCAACTCTGAAGTAGCCTCTGACTGAGGACCCTCATGTTTACACAACAATTTAGAAATAAATATATAGAAGGGCATGAGAACAAATTCAGAAGGGTAAATTGTAAGCCAAACAAGGCTATCATTAACAGATTTATTTTTGCTATATAAATAAGGCTGATACAAGTGGAATCATTTTCAGCCTTCATAATATTTGAATATTGGCCTTAAATGACATTGTCAGACGTAATTAATAATTCACAGATACAAATTACACATCTTTATTAATATTTCCTCAAAAATCTTGTTTCATTCTCATAATACCAAAAAGTCAAAAAACTGAAGCCAGAACCCACTTTAAGCATCTTCAAAAGACCATGTAAACTGGAAACAAAAAGTAAAAGAAAATTACCAAGATAACTATTGTCACAGTGATTCAATGAACTAAAATAAAATCAAACTGTAAGAACGTCTGTAAACAAAGCTGATGCAAGTTCGTAGCACTCTCTTCAGTATGAACCTACAAAGCTTTATTGATTTAAGCACATAAAAGAATCTGACCCTACAGGACTTTGGCTTAGAAACATTTCTTCAGAAAATGGAACCTGTAGCTACATTCTTGGCAAGAAGTATGCGTTCTGTGTTGAGTATACCGTCTGTTTACATACAGTATGGCAGGTAGTTTTAAAAAGCACATTCCAAGTTGGTCAACAATATTCTCTCCCAATGTCAACATGTGCTGTATGATAAAAATGCATCAGGTGCTACTTCATTAGCTTTGCTGACCATCTGGGGAAAAAATGTGCAAAGTAAGATGGTGTTTGTCATGAGGGCAGGGAAACAAATTTGTGCAATTGTTTGCATAACCCAGCCTAACTTGATCTGGGTAAAAACTGTTTTCAGCTACCAAAAAATTGACCCAAAAGCCTCCTGATATACATTCAACCAAGTTCTTGAGGCATTGTACTCTTCAGGTATACTTTATATAGTCTCTTAGTCTATGAAGCACTTGTTGGCTTTGTTGTGCTTGTGCAATAAACACGTATAGAATTTCCAAGGCAGATTATATCCTTACTACTTCAGCTGCTCAGTATTAACATACAGTTTGATAAGAGCATCAGTGGTATTAATATAAAATTAAAAGAAAGTTTTGGCAGTTGTACAGGGTGCTCAGGTCTGGTCACAACAAATAAAAATACTGTATATTAATAACTGATCAAAAAACAAAAAGGTTTCAGGTCTCTTGCAAAATAAACAGAACATACAGTGCTCCTGTTCATGTTCGGTCAGCTAACTAACTAAGGTACCTGGTGAATGCATCTCCATCTTTCTGATTAGAGGACATATTTACAATAATCAGAGTGTATTCCTACTTATTACCTTGAGCACTGGAATCACCTAAGAGCCAACCCATGATTCACTTTCAAATAACTGTCACTCACCAATGAGTTCCTTACAGTAGGGAGTACTAGTTAACATAGCAGCAAGCAACATGTTGCCATTAGTTTCTACTTGGTTAACTTAACCTGGTTCCTAGAAAACTGTAGCATTTCTTTTCTGGTAGGCCAGACAGTAACCGATTGTGGGGGAATGTCTTTCTCTCACAACAGCGCCTGAAGACTTTGGCTTAAACTTTTATTATGAATCTCCAGAAGCTTTAGGCAATACTGTAAACGATCTCCAAGGCTGATGGCTGCTATCAGGACATCTCCTCGATTCCCGGGAAGCTGACTAAGGGTCCGCCAGCTGTTCGATGGTCCATGGCAGAGTGCATCAAAGTCAGCCACACGTCATCCATGTTTGGCATTACAAGGATTTTCTGAAAAAGTACAGATTTTGTGAACATTCTGTGTGTCTTGTCATGCCTATGACTGAATCAGTTATAATTTGAGTGAACTAAAGGTTTTAAAAAGCACACAAGTAATATTTCATGGATTATCTCAGGAATTAATTTGTAGTACTTCAACAACTATAATGTGAAAAACTTATGTGGTTTTTTTTTTTTTTTTTACACAATTCTAGAGGGCCAATGTGTACTGTGTGTACTTTTGCAAGTCACTGTATGCAATACTACCTGGAATTCCTGGTACAATTTTTTCTCGATCCAGTCTGTAACATGATACAGAGTCACTTCTCTTTCCCCAAGTTTTGGTCGAGCCTTCAGTTCCAAGTGAGGTGGTATCCTAAAGCCGTACCTTCAGAAGAAAACATTCAAATTCATTCACTTTCAAAAGTTTTGAATTTCTACTGTACAATACCTTTTAAACGAAAAAAGCCTTTACCACCAGGGGGCAGACATACAATCCTTAAGCTCTAAACAGGTGTCTGTATAGTAGAATGCAATTACTTGTTCTGACAACAAACACAGCCTGTTAATTTCTCTTCATTTATAAACACAGATTTGTAATTTCAGCAACTCCTTGCAGAAATGGAGGGATGATAACACCATTAGGAGTCATCTTAAATCCATTTGTTCACTTGATTTTGTTGATCTGTAGGAAACAAACTGATGATGAAGACGTAACAATTTACCCCTTTGAACAAAATATGGATGCTTGCTGTGGAGACCACCCTACTGAACATTGCAACAGTAAGATGATTCTGCCTTTACATACCAAATCCTGTCAGTGGGAGGAGGAGGAATGTTGACAGCTAGAGTTCCTCTGAGTTGCTGAACCTCCACAGTGAGGAGGAGGGGTGTGTTGGACACTTCCTCCAACTTTTTTTTGATGAACTCTGTCTCCGTGGCCTTCTGAAAGTATTTGGATTTGGCAATCTTATCCACAATGCGGATAATCTTGCTCGGTCTACGTCCACCCACTGGACTGCATTCAACAAAAAGAAGGAAAGAACTATTATTGACTTGTGTTTTTACTTTAATGAATTGATTTGGACATCGCACAAGGCATTACATTGCATAACAAAACTGTAACAGAAAGTATTACACAAGCTTAGTGGTACCTTTCTGATCCAGCTGGATCATTTGCGATGTCTGTGTTGTCTTCTTCATCTGATGACCCTGCACTCGATGACTCTTCATCACTAGCAGATAGGCAGTAGGTCCGAGGCCTGTGTCTGGGAGCAACCAAAAGCCAAAACGGATCAGGGCTACTACACACATATATATTTATATGTAAGTTGCAAAAGAACCATGAAGTGATTGTGAAGAATTTTTATGGTTTAATTATGGTTAAAAAGATGTGATTAGGTATCATTCTCTAGCCATACAGAAAGACATGCTTCAAGCCATCACCATTACGGAGGCAACGTCAATCTCCAATTTTCCAGCTTTAGTGCTGGGGACTTTAAGAGCTCTTTTCATGTCAGAAACATGCATCTTAAATTATCTATATTATCTATATGCTTCAGAACCCAATGCAAAAGCTGATTTTAATTAGTTTAGTTCATCGTACTAAGTTTCTTTTTTAGCTTTCCTGGCTCTAAAAAATTAAAACACGAGGGATGCTAAACAAATTGTATTTTACTGGTCTTGCCACTCAGAGGTGAGGAAAACACAGTTTGAAAGAATCTGTCTGTAACACTTAAATGTCCTACAAGGTTTTAATTACTCAGAAATAATTTACCAGATACATTTTTGAAAATATGGAGAACAAAAATAAATTACTGAACACATGAAGGCATTGGTTAATTGTACATTTAGGTTGAATGTTAAGCAGAACTCACCAAAGGAGGAAACATCCAATTAACAGCCGTAGAAAAACAGAAGTCAAGAAGAAGGAGAAGCAGGAACAAGAACAAGTTTTACAGGAGGGAAGGAAAAATTAGTAAAAAATTAGAGAAGAAACAATTTTGTAGATTGAGATAAAAATGCAGCCAAAACTGTTCTGAAATGTTTAAGTGAAGACAGTTGTCCTCCATTTTACCCATCTTTGCCTAATTCCCCCAAGCGGAGACTCTCTTCCTCCTTTCCCAGTCGATTGAGAATCATCTTGGTTTCCAGAGTCATCAGGAAGGAGCCGGTGTAGGAGATCTCCAAATCAAACCAGAGACCTAATAAATATAAATAATTCATTAGAAATGTGTACGGTGATCCAGAAGACAAGGGATAGATATAAAGCAACACTCCTCCCACTCTATTGATTTGGATGAATTTGTTCAGCCACCCCGACCACAATATACCCTGTAAGCACAGGCGATTGATGTACATGAACACTTTTTAATGTTTTACACTGAGATTTTTACAGACAGTATTATTAGGTATTTTTTTAAGTAAAACACAATTAAGTTGTCATTGATTAAACCTGGCTAAATACAGCAATGATACTCTTTTTGCCAAGTGTAAAAAAAAAAATAAAATAAAACGAGGACAATGGACCTGCCAAAAATTTGCGAACTTATTTACCTTTCTTTTAATATGGCAATTGTGCAACACTGTTTATGACATTTAGCAGCACGTTATTGCTGTTAAATGTCCCACTGGCAGATAAAGAACTCATTATTACAGAACTGTTTATCCGCCGTTACCCTGAGGAGTCACAACACGCTTTTCTGATGGGGAGCAGCTGAAAAGAAACTACTCTTCGTCAGTGAGTAGTTTGCTGTCCGCTGTCTTCGCAGCGGACAGCAAGAGGAGGAGAGAGCGGCATGCACAAAAGCCTGATTGACAGCACTAAGATCTCTTTCACTTATTTCATACTATACTTCCAACATATATATACAAATTTTTTTTTAAATAAAATCTACATACTGCAACTTTCAGATACTTTTTTGATTCATTATATACATTTTCTGTAATCCTCAAGTGCTTTCGATCAAACTTTTTTGGCCCTAATGACAAAAAAATTGGATGTCACCAACATCCAGTCACAATGATTGATTTAATAGTGCTACAGATATATTTCTGTTGTATTTTTTTGATTAGGCAGAATTATGTCCTCATTTTTTGTATAAAAAAAAAAAAAGCAGTATGAGGTGGACTGTGCAAAGTTGTAGTTTATGTTTCTTCCACTCGATGGCAGCAAATTTTGACAAATAATAAATCAAAGAGTGAAAACATAAACTTGTATGTACAACTAATTAGAAAACCTAA